CATAAAATAAAAAATTTATATCTTTATGTTTGAAGCCTGAAATGTGGCAAAAGGTTGAAAAGTTCAAGGGGGCCGAATACTTTCGCAAGGCACTGTATGTCCTAAAATACCATTTGCCTATTCATTACCTCATCAGGATGTCTAGAAGTTGAATATGGTAACACGTGAGTCATTCTCTTCAGGTTTCTTCAATATCTTTGTGTCCCATTTTATTTTCTAGTTTATTTTTTCGACCTCCATGCACCATGCTATTGTCTATATTAAACGTCATCTACAAGCTGTTTGTCCAGTCCTGAATATGGACCACTTGAAGGGTCTGTGATGCTTTAAGGAGTTCTAGTTTTACTATGTTATAGGCCACACTAGTACTAGATAATCATTCACTTTTTGTCCCCAATTAAGATTGGGAATTCACCTGGTGAAGGACAAAGAAAAAAACCTTTTAGCTTGAATAACCTTTCTAGCCTGTTAAGTAGTCTCTGAGGTGCAGAAGATGATGCCCATTCCATGCATTTTCAAAACAATCAGTACGAAATAAAAGTTTGGTACAGTATGGTAAGGAGACACAGATGTGAAAGATACCCAGCTGTGACAATGATACTCCGCACTACAACAGTATGGCTTTGATTAAGTAGGCCAGGCTTTCTTGTTCTTATAACAAAAAACAGCTCCTGCAGCTTTGTTGAGAATCTGTATGCTTGCAGTGACACCAGTGTGAAATGTTTCACTACTCTAGTTGTGATTGTCTCTCCGGTTAGCCACTGTGCCACTTTGTAACAATCAATGAATAGCTCTGTGGTTGAGCATGTCAAAAGAGACTATACATGTGTCGCATTCTGCTCTAAGCATCATAGGGGATGCCAATTATTACAACCAGAAATTCTAAATCACAAATCAGGTGTGCAATTTCCCAATAAATGAAAAAGTCTGGATTTAAAATGTGAGGCAACCACCATACATACTCATTTCTGCAAAATCAGACTTGTTGATCTTCTTAATCTTGTTGTAGCGAGCATAGAAGTGAGTTGTTTCTTTTGGAAGAGGAGGAACTGTTTCTAGCTTCACATCATCACAGTAGACTGACCCTCCCAGGCAGGTGCACAGTAGGCAGGTGGGCAAACCTGAGAGGGACAGAACAGATGGTACCTTTGAGAAAACTATACCAACATCTTCAAATACAATTGGTTCTAGTTTATGCCACTATATTGTTTTTTTTTCCTTGCTAAATTAAATAACACATAAAAGTGTGGTATGGTCATTGATTTTTAATTTTTTGTTATAAAGGAAAAACTTACTTGATTCATGTAAATACAAAAAAAAAATCATGTGGCCTACCATAGTTACAGATAATAATAGACATGAATTAAGAGTCCTTTACATGGATACTGGTTTTCCAATAAATGTCAGTTCTCTGTCCACTACTGTCTGTGAGTACAGGGTGGGCTATGACTTTATTGTTCTTAAATGTTATTGGGTTTTTATTAATTAGTGTTGTGTTCCTAACCCTTTTAGGTAACCTATAGCAATTCAGTTAACTACAGTTCAGTTCATGTCTGTACAGTTCAGTTAAATACAGCCATAATCTGCCTTAAATAAAATATTATAGCGAAAATGTTTCAACATCAAAAATACAGAATCTTCAGATACAGTATTTCACAGCCAGAAGGTTATTTGCCCTTGTAAATCCAAATTTTCCATGAGAAATGTATTTATAGCTAGTCAGCTCCTATTCTAATTTTACTTCATTTTTACTTTGTCATGGTTTAGAAAAAACCTGAAGAAATCTGCTGTGCAGGTAGTAACTGTGATCTCTGTTTTACTGACCTGCCTGTGTGTCAGGTCCTAGCAGTCCCGATCCCCCAGAGCTCTGTGCAGGGGTGAGGGGCTTGAGGGGAAGCTCCTCTTCCTCCTCTTCCACAGAAGTGCTGGGTTGCTGATATCTGTTCACTAGGGGTGGCAGGGTGCCAATCTCAATCTGTGTCAAGAGTCAGACACAGGCCGTCATCTTTTCATTTGGTCATTTAAGTCCATAACATGACATTGCACAAAATACCCACATGAGGGCAGTGTAGTTAATGCTTTATTTTTCATCTAATCTCAAATGACCGTTTCAGGTAACACAAATATTTCTGTTCACAAACCTTATGGGAAGCTTTTTTTACAGTTTAAAGAAAGAAAATTATAGACAAATTAATACATAGAGGTACTTTTCTCAACTAGAAATGAAATCAAAGGAATATAAAGACAAAGAGTGGGGGAACTTTTTCTAAATAATATTAATAACTTCACAGATGACAAAAATGTGTTTGAATGTCATCAAATATTTAAAGGGAAATGTCACATATTCAATAGTGAAAGATGAGGAAGGGAAGAATGCTGATTCCAGAACGGCAAAATCTGCATTCATGAAATTGTTATGGAAGGCTTCCTCTTTCAAAGTATTGAGGAGTTTTGATCATTTGTTTAATCCAGACCTGTGGCAGAGTATAGACAGTATAGAGAACAAAAGTGTGTGCCTCTAGTTCTAAAACATTTAGGTCTTTACATATAGATTCTTACGCATTACACATTGGTATGGTAATGTGTAACAAATTAAAATGCTTAAGCACAAGATGTCGCACATATTGCATCTTGAATTGGATGTGTAGATCAGTTTATTCATTAGACAAGATGCAGCAACTGAAACATGTTGAGCACCTACAGTATAAATAAATGTAAAGTTTTGATTTTTAGATTACATGCTTTTGTCTCGCCCCTTCCTAGAATAATTTACTTGATGTTCATAGAATACGGGCTATTTCGTGGCTGGGAAAAAGTCCTTGAATTGTACCATTTTAACATGACAGTTTGAATAAAAGTGTCTAAATTCTTCACAGAGGTAAAATAGTTGAATAGCTTTTAATATTTCAGTACATTTCAATATGTAATTTTGGTAAAAGAATGCATTTTATTACTCAAATGTTTTATTGAGATCCGTCCATTTATTTATTTTCATGCAATACAAGGTAGGGAGAGGAGGAGCTGATCCTGGCAAGCAATGGGTGCAATGCCAGTTCATCACAGGGCACACACAGACACAAACACACTACAGCTGCACACACTCATTCTTAGGGCCAATTTTACCAGAGGCCAACTAACCTGCCAGTAGGTCTTTGGACCATTGAGAAAACCAGAGCACTCAGAGGAAACCCATGCAAACAAGAGGAGATCATACAGACTCCACACAGATAGAATTGGAGGACCTCATTGGCTAAGGACAAAAATTGACCCTAAAACCCCAGCACTGCAAATGAGCAATGCTGAATACTGCGCTACGATGCTGATCTGTTTTTTAGAGATATATTTCTTAAACTGATTTATTAGCCTTATCAAACTGTTTGTTTCCCTCTTCCTCATATATTAGGTGCATTTATGTCTCAGTTCATTTTAATATCGTGAGTTCCATTTAAGAGATGCCACCATAAGATTATAATTTTTAGTACTATTATAATAAATTTAAAATCTAATTAAAAAATCAGGCATATTGTTCATTTTTTTTACATATATTTAAACTATTTTTGTTTATATATTGTATTTATATCTAAATATTTTCACACAAATTGAAAGAAAATAATGGATGTGTGCAATAATAACTGTTTCTTAAACCCTTACTTAAACTTAAAGAACAGAAATCATATGTGTAAGAAATAGTCTGAATGGATCATTTCACTGTAAATGCTCATCTGTTTTAAAAGTCTTAAGGTAAACAGTTCAGTGTAAAACATTTACTTGAAGCAGCTTTCTGATTTCAATTCTGCAATTTCAACTTGGTCCACATGAGGTCTCTGGAAACCCACACTGAACATTAAACAATATTGCAAGCCTCTGTCTGAGGTTTTTAGACTCTCTCTCCTGCATTCATGTCCTTTAAGTTAAAAGTGGTCCTTGTGGAACCAAGACACTCATGGTAACAGCACATGGTAATTCACTCTATGAAAAAACATTAGATAACATAGTATAGATGTGTTTCCCAGGCTTTGCAACATAATATATATTAAAAAGGTGCATATTATCTTATTTGTAATTGTATGTACTATATGACTAATATATAAACATTTTCAATTGCTTAAGACACAAACATACAGTATGTTATTTTGATTAAAATACAAAACTTATTTAGGTATCAATCACTTTTAAAGTTTTTAAAGTAGTTTAAAGTGTAATGCCCATGGTATTGCTCAACTGGGAAAGCAAAAAAGAAAGTACAGTATATTTTACATTACAAAATACTCTTGGGAACAAGAATTTAATAAAGCCACAGGGAAAAGTAATTATAATATGGGCTCATAAGTTTATGTTTCTGCAGGCTATGAAAGCATTAACAAGATAGAGAGGATAGTCAAACATTTGGCTTCAGAAAGCCTTGTCTGAAAGATTATTAAATTGTTAAATTAAAAATTCCCCAAAATATTTCAGAAAAGTACAAAATAAAGTGAATATGTATTGTGAATATGAGAATATACAATTTAATGACAGGGACCCTGTTTTAAAACATTTCCAAATGAGGGACATCCAGCAGTTTACACATCCATGAAATCCATTGAACTCCGCAACAGTGAGCCAAGAACAACACATGGACACTGTGGCAGTCAGTTTGTATTTGGTGGTTAATCTTTCTTGTTCCTATAGAAATAGACAGGTCATTATTTTGGTTGTTCTCTTTTAAGGTACCATAGGATTTTGTACAGGTTTCCAAATACATGAAGCACCAAATCAGCGCAGTCAAATTAAACTGTTCTTACAATATGTTATATTTTTGACTAAACTGTGTTCTATCTAAAGATCAGAGTTGAGATCATAAGTCAATTTAAACTATATTTCTCTTGCTTTCTGGGCCATATTCACTCATTTACAATCTTTACAACACAAAAGATCAATGAACTCTTTGAATCCAAAGCTGTGATATTCACTCATGGTCCTGGAGGGCCACAGGGCATTCTGGTTTCTATTCCCCCAGAGCTGCTAGTAACATAAATGAATTAACCATTAATGTAGTTGATCTATATAATCACTATTGAAGTCCTTAGCCAATGAGGTTTTAAAATTAATTGCAAAACATTCAGGAGTCCAGGGCCAGAAGAGAAAAATCAATAAAATGTTGACAAAGAAGATGGTTCAATCTATATTTAAAAAGGTTTAACTGGCAGACGTTTACAGCACTTAAATGCAGAAACACTACTCATGGTAACTTCTTCCCCTTTCATTATGTTCCCCCAGGACAATTAAGTAAGGAACATTATACCTCTGTTGAAACCCAAGATAAGGAGTTTTCACTTTTTTTCTCTGGGGGAATAAAGAAGTGTTTTCAAAAGGTTTTACTGCTGAGGAAGATCAAGGAAGAACTGGAGACTGAAAAGGTCCCATCATATTTAGATTCCATAAACCTCTATCATTTAATATAGCTGAGCAATTTGGCCTAACCTTGTAGAGATCACAGTGAAGGAAATTATAACAATGCAATGAATACCATAATCAATTCTCATTTAATTCATCTTCCCATGGAAAGAAAAAGGAAAGAAAAGGGTTGGGAATCAAGATTAGATTAGAATGTTAGTAAATGCAGTAATTAAAGATCACAGTCTTTTAGCCATTTCTTCATTTCTAAAAGTATAAATGAACTATGTGCTGTAAGCCTCAGTTATTTACCTTAAAATCATATTATTTATTTTGAAAAAATACAAATGATTGTGGGTTTCCAAATTGCTCATTGAAGAACGTACATCAGGATTAAGTTAAGGTCCTGGCCCATTTTGTTTTTCGAAAATTCAGTCCTGCTGTTTCTTATGATACCATTCCAACATAATTTTGCATTTGATAAAAGCTGGAACAAATTGAAAAAGATTACACAAGTCTTCTAATTCCAAACATTCATTGCAAAAAATTAACATGATTTCAAATGTGGTCTGTGCTGAAGGGTACTCTTGGAAACAGAGGATGCTCCCCATGTTCAATAGTTTACATGTTTTTACCCATTGTAAAATAGCTTAAATTAAAACACAGCTTTGGGCAAGCTTGATAGGGCTTGGTTAGGCAATTGTTGCCAGGAAACTAGAAACTATACAGCTTGGAATAACTCCACATTCTTCTAAGTGTTTTGTATTCAACAGGACATGGGTAAACTAAACACAATGATATACCATATTTTTATTATTTCTGTTAGCGGGCTGCTCATCAGTTTAAGAAGCCAATTTTATGTCTGCCTGTGAAGTACCTTTTCAGACAGAGGTTTTAATTTTTAGGAGGTATTTACAGTATCTACTGTATAGACATCAACCAATGAAGCAGTTTTGTAAGTCAGAAAGCATTAAAAAAACTTTGGAGGCAGACTAAAACATTGGAGAGAATCTACAGTAACATGTTGCTTCAATGATTTGCTTCATTTACATTGCCTTTGAACCCAGTCTTTGTGAACACTTTGAAACAAGAGCATTGAACAAATGAGTTCATCCTGTTTCCAAATTATATTAGCCATAACATTGATGGGTCAAATTTCAGAAAAATCTGATGCGATGTAACTATTATTTTTAGTAGTAGTACTTAGTAAATTTATTATTCGTAGTTAGTCATGGTAGTAGTAAGAGTGGAAGAGGTAGTAAACAATTATGGCTGCAGCATCACTAGTAGTAGGAGTAGCAGTGCAAGTAGTCGTTAATCATGGTAGTAGTAATCTATTGATTTTAATATTTCTGAGAATGAAAAGTGAATAGGCAGAAGTAAACTTTTCAAATATATGACAGGAATAATGTGAAGTCATTTTCATTATTAAGTGCAAAATGCATTTTCTTTGCATACAGTTCCAAGTCCCTTTACAGGTAATTTTTAGATTCAGTAAGAAAGACATGTCTTAGATCAGAAAGTGAGGTACAAATCCCCCTTAAAAAAAGAAACAGAATAAAACAACAAAGTGCAATTCACAACATTCACAAAGAATTTAAA